CCCCAAAACCCCAAAACCCCAAAACCCCGATAGAGGGTGGGAGGATTGAAAATTGAGGTTAAAAAGGTTATTTTAAGTTATAAAAGTCATCGATTATTTTTACTCATGCGGTGAAAATGGATTTGTTGCAGTAAGTTTGGAGATTTTCTAAGGCATCTATTCCTCCTTTTTCTTGAAAATTTAAGGCAAGAGTGTTTTGGTAGTTTTCGTTGGTTCTTCTTTCTCCAAAATGAAGTAGTGTGTACAATAGTTCTAAGGATGAAAAGAGAAGCTTTGAAATTCAATCTTCTTCAGTAATATGTATGATGTGTTGAAAAATGCAGGGAATGAAATCGTCTGATCTTCAGAAATGCTGATCACTGTTCTCAGTTTCTATACAAGAGTTGAAAATTCCTGTGTTAATTAATTCTCGATCTATTGTGCCATATTCATTTGTATGAGCAACAATTTTAGTAAGAAACCTGATGAATTGCGTCTTCTCAGATTCAGATGAGGATTTAAAGATCAAATTATAGTTGTCTTGTATGATTCCGCTTATAACTATCAATTTTATTGGATCTTGTTTCTGCTGGGTTTGAAATGTACTGGAATTATGTTCTCGACTCAATTCCCAACTGTATGTTTCAGTAAATCAAGCAAGGAATGAGAACACTTTTCCTTTTGTTTTTCATTTGTTAAGTGCTTTAAGAATTCCCTCGAAAACCTCTTCAGAAATAATTTCTTCAATATAACTATTCTTATCGTACTCAATAAAGATGGACATGATATCTGAAGTAATATGAATAAGTTCTTCTCAGATTCCATCTGTTTTTGGGCCCTCAAATTTTTCGCTAATTTGAGTCAGTTCAGAGTAAAAATTGATTCAAATATCCATTAGGTTGCTAACCTTGGATCCAACAAAGTCTACTGCTTTCTTCAGTTCAGCTTCTTTATTGTATTGATTCAAAATTGAGAGGATTACGTTGAGACTGTCTGTATTTATTATAGAAATATTATCCCCTTTCAGATCAATTGCTATTGACTCCAAGATGTCTTTATATTTATCAATTGCAGCTATGAAGTGAAAAATTAAACTCTTCTGTACTTACTTTTTGTAGTTGATCATAAATTTATTGCAGAGACTCAAGAATAATACCATATCTTCTTTCATTTTAGTGATTTGTTGTATACAAATAGACTATGTTTGTTAAAAAGAGTTACTTTGAAATTGTTTCTAAATAATTTCCATCTTTTAGCAAAATCTCAGCTCGATCTTGGCTTATTGAGAAATAAATATAGAGGACTTGGAGTTTACTCAAAGATCTCCTTGCTTTGTTCAGAAGAGTTTCATGAGATTTATTTTCTTCACATTTATTTTCTTCAGATTTGTTTTCTTGAAGCTCTTTAATAAATTTAAATTGATAGACTTATAAATGTTGATTTTTAATAATTTTTAGTCAAAGTTTACATCTTTAATACTTACTTTGGGGAAATTTTTCATTCCAGAACTTAGAAAGCCACTTATAAATCTGCGAGGTAATTGGAACAAATTCATCACAATAAAATAATTTATCAAGGAAATCATCGTTTTCTTCACAAAGAATAATGAAAATATCTAAAATCCTGTCAAGAATATCATGAAATCTATTTTGGTGTTCTTGTCTATCAATTTTATCAATTACTTCTGTGCAGTAGTCAAACATTTCGTGGTAGTTAATATTCTGGAAAAGTTCTGCAAAATCTTTACTTCTCTTCAACAAAATCAATAGTATATTCACTCAGAAGAGTCAAGTAAAGATGGATGTTCTCAAGGTCTCTTCAATTACCTGCTTTAAATTCTTTAAGGTGTTCAAAAGTTGCTTCAAACCCTTCAACGTTATCAAAGACTTTGTTATCTTTAATAAACTCCCTCTCTTTATGGGTTTGATGCTTTGCTGGCATCATTTGTCTCTTTTCTTTGTATATCTTTGCTCTTCTCTTCTTGCGTAGAGATATCATATATGACTCTCGTTCTCTAACAATATTTTTAGGTGGAATCCTCATAAAGTCTTTCCTTCTTGTTTCTCCAATGGTATCCTCCATTTTAGATTTTAGATTTATTTTTTCAAAATTTCTGAAAATGTATGGGGTTTTGGGGTTTTGGGGTTTTGGGGTTTTGGGG